TAGGTAGTAGTAGTTATTATATATATATATATATATATATATATATATATATATATATATATATATATATATATATATATATACATATAAACTGTCATCATCTCCTGAACAGTCCTAACTTACCGTGGTTTTTTTTATATATATATTTCTTTAGGTTGTTATTACCTATCTGTCGTTTCTGTGTTCACGGCTTCTAGATCTTCGAAAAGAGACTCGAGCTGCTCGGCTAATTCAGTCAGTTTGGAGGAAATACAGACTGAACACAGAGCTAAAACTCCATCAGGTATTTTTATCAAGGACTTCATTCTTTTGTGAAGTAGTACAGTAAAAGCTGTTATCTGGCCCTGTACCAGCCGGAAAGCTCTATAAACCAGCATTTCCAATTGTCATAGAAAATCTGGTTGGCGCCGGGCCAGCAGGCTACCTACTTGGCTCCGTGTGACTCCCCAGAAGTGGTGACATGTCCCTGCTGTTCCTAGGCAGAAGCATGGCCATGCAGGCACCGCCGCCCACAGATCCCATTGGCCGTGGTTCCAGGCCAATGGGAGCTGCGAAGGCAGTCCACAGGGCAGGGGCAGCACGCAGAGCCACCTCTGCCTAAGAGCAGCAGGGACAGGTATCCACGTACGGGGAGCTGCCTGAGGTGAGCGCCCCCCAGAGCCCACGCCCTGCACCCAATGTTTAGTTAACTGGCATTTTTCACTTACCGGCACCCCCCATTTCCACAACATGCCAGATAAAAAAGTTTTTACTGTAATAATCACTCTTGGTTTGTGGTACAGTGTGGGATACAAAATCAACCAAGTTGTAAATGGATAGTCTTCAGAGAGTAGTATTTGTAACTACTTTTTGAGGACTTCATATATTACTAAGATGGTTGACACAATCTTGCTTTAGAGCAAAATGCATCTTTTCATTCTCTTCCAAATGAGAAGTAGTCAATGTAAAGACTAGTGCTCTGCCAGGGTTACATTTAATGTTAATGAGTGTTTCAGTCCTTTTCCCAAGTCCAAGGCTGAAGCGGCTTTACTGAACTTTATGAAGAACTCCACACTTCTTTACAATTTAAAATAAAATGAAAAGAATACCACATTTGAGCTAGGTCTCTTGCCACTGTGCAATGTATAGGATTTGACACACACAATTTGACCAAAGCATTTCAATTGGAACTTTCAACAATCTTGGTGTTCCATTTCTGACTTTCTACAGGGAATTATGCTAAATTATATGTTCATTTTGAAATATACAAGACTATAAAAATTGCCAAATAACTTGTTGCCCACTTCAGACTTTAATTCAGGTACTTAAAAGTGAAAGGTAGCTGGTGTACATTCAAGGCTGCAGGATTTCACCATGCTTCGTTACCACGTGTATAGCATTACATTTTTCTTCTTCGTGTAGTGTCCCTATGGGTGCTCCACTGTAAGTGTGCTTGCGTCCCTACACTGCTGATTGGAGAACTTTGATAGCAGTGTCTGTTAGGTCCACTCATGCACTGTCTCTCCTTGTGCTGCCCTTGCATGGTGCACCAACAGCATGCCTCTTGAGCCTCGCCCAAGAAACCTCCTGGAATACCCCCTTGGCCGCAGCATCTAGGGGTTCTTAACTGCCTCAAGAGATCGAGGAACAGGAAGCTGGTACCAAGGAGTAAGTGACACCAAGGAGCATATTCTAGTCTCCGGACGAAGCCATCATGCCTCCCACTCCATCTTTGGCAGATGACTTTCATGTTTTCCAGGAGCTTGCAAACACCCTCCAGATACAATTGGAGGAAGTCAAGGACACCCACCATCAGCTCTTTGACATCCTTCACTCTTCATCCTCCTCAAAAATCGCCTTCTTGATTAATGAGGTCATTTTAGTCCTGGAAAACATCTTGTGGCAAGCCCTGGCATCAGTAGTGCCAATCTGCAAGCGAGCAGATAAAAGCTAGTATGTCTCAGCCCAGGAATCTGAATTCCTATTTTCCTACTCCTCACCCAACTCCATTGTGGTGGATGCTATCAACTCCTGCAGCCAATAACATTGATCAAGGACTACTCCCTATGATAGGGATTGGAAGCGCCTTGATCCTTTCGGCAGAGAAGTGTTCTTCTCAGGCACTTTGCAATTCTGTATCGTCAACTACCAAGCCCTCACGGCGAAATACAACTACATAAATTACTTGAAACGGAATGACTTTATTGAAAAGTTGACAGAGACACATCACAATTCATTTAAGGCCGTTATCCAGGAGGGCCAATTAGTGGCAAAGATATTGCTGCAATCTGCCCTCGACGCAGCCAACATGGCAGCTAGGTTCATCTCTACAGCTGTGGTAATGCAATGAGCATCATAGCTTCATTTTGTCAGGATTCCCAAACGAAGGGTAGTCCACTGTTGAGGACCTTCCCTTTTGAGGGCACGAAGCTCTTCGCTGGGAAGACTGACGCCTTCGTTTGCACTCTGAAGGACTCCAGGCCTACCCTCCAGTCACTGGTTATCTATACACTGGGACAAAAGAGACTATTTAGTCCCCAGCCCCAGCATAAACTACACGCCACCCACCCTCCTCCCCTCTACTTCAGAGTTCTTGTTAATGACTCTGTGGTAGAGAAGGAAATAAGGGAGGTTAGCCTGCATGTGCTGATAAGTCTTGTGGTGCAGCACGAGGAGAGACAGTACACGTGTGGTCCTAGCAGACACTGCTACCAAAGTTCTCTGATTAGCAGTGTAGGGACACAAGCACACCTACAGTGGAGCATCGATATATGGACACACATCTCGAAGAACCATCATTACTGCACAAGGTGAGGAACTTCGTCAAAGAGTTCCTTAATATAGAAGTTAAAAGCTAGAACTACTGCTAATATCTAAAGTTAAAAGTGCTGAAGATGTGAATAAAGATTGTCCAAGGGGAGAAGGCAAGAACATAACATGTACTATCTATAATGACTTACCAGCTGAAATCCCTAAGATCTATTTCAGGAAAGTTTGCTTCCAGTAACAGGAGGTGAAAAAATAACACATCTTCTCGCCTAAGCTAAAGGGGTGGGGGAGGGGTTGAAATATGATACTACATATATATTAACTAACTTTTGTTATTAGTGGGAAACTGTCTCCCATGACAAATCTCTGAAAATAACTATAATCAACATAGTTTTACTAATTGGCATTTATGTATTGCAATTAGAGGGATCCTGTTTTGATGCTGAAAAAGCACATGAAGCTTATTTGAAAATGTGTGTTTGAGGGAGAAATAAACATTGTTACTCAAACTAAGATCTAGTGAAATGTGTATTCCACTAAATTTTTGGAACTGATAATGCTGTGACCTCATTTTCCTTCAAGAAACGATGGAGGCTTAGCTTTGGGTATCTACTCTGTTTTTTGTTTTTAAACAAAAAACAAACAACTTTCAATGGAAATTCACTCCTTGCAGGAAAAAGACAAAGCTGCTCGGATTATTCAATCAACTGTAATAAATTTTCTGTCTCACCGGCGCATCCAGAAAAAAGTTAACGCAGCAATTTTCATTCAGAAACACTGGAGAAGATATTTAGCTGAGAGGAAAACTTTGAAATTAAAAAAGGCAAAACTGGAGGAAACTAAAAGTGAATCTGCTACAGTCATCCAGGTACGATTAAGTTAACAGGGGCAAAAAGCAATAAAGCTTTTTAAAAGAAGCTTCTTCTCTACTTAAAGTTGAAGGAAAAGGCACATTCCAATGTCAGAGGTTTTGCTGGTGTCATCACACAGACTTAAAGCAGAATATTCTCTGCCTTCAGTAGCTGCAGACTAAACTACCCAGAACTCTAGACTATTCCTTTGAAAGTGCCAAATGGGACGTAATGCTGGTATTTGCTATTGTTTTTAATGTTTCCCATTAGTACACCAAAGGGTTTAAAATAGTGGTTCCTAAATTTCTGATCACATGGTGCTGTTTTGCTTCTTTTCCAGCTGCTAAATAGCACTGAGCCTGAAAATTCATTAATTTCTTAGCAGTTGCTTATATAGAGAAGGATTATTATCAGTGCCACAGGATGCTTGCTTTTAGTGGGAGGAGAAGTAGTCATCTATTGTCTCATTCCTGATTGTGCTAATACCTAAGACATTTTCTCTATTAAGATGTGGTACATACTTTGAATATGTATGAGAACCCCTTTATTGTTACTTTTAATTCAGAACTCTTATAAATAAGAATATATAAATAAATACCCAACAGTAACTTGTGGACTTCAACCCAAATGCTAGTTAAACTTTTTGTAAGAAAACTCTGGGACTTTGTGTTAATTCTCAGTTTATTTCTCAATAGTTTGAAAGGGAATCTTAACTGCTTTAATAGTTCGCCCTTTGGCACAGAATTGGTATGTAAAAAGAAATAGCCTTAATGCATTCTGTATTTGTGATCATGAAAAAAGTTCTGGACCGTTAGTCTGGGGATAGGGTAGCAGTGAATAAATTGGAACCCACAAGACGAATAGTCCATAAACTCAGGATTAATGTTGAAAGTGGCAAAGTTGGGGGTTCTTTTTGTTTTGTTTTTCTTTTTTTCAATAAGAAAAGTAACTAGCTCTTGGGGTGAAACTTCTAGGCCAACTTGAATATTAATATAATCTCAGTTTAATCCATAAATTTATCATTCTGCTCTATTTTGCAGACTTACTGGAGGAGATTCTCTGCTAGAAAAAGATATTTGCAGCTAAGATACTATGCTATCCTTGTGCAAGCTAGGATAAGAATGTTGATTGCTGCTGCTGCATATAAACGACTTCTTTGGGCAACTGTTACAATTCAGAGACATTTCCGTGCTTCCTTGGTGGCAAAACAAGATCAGCAAAGATATGAAACTTTAAAGTCGTCTTCACTTGTCATTCAATCTGCATTTAGAAGATGGAGAAAACACAAAATTGAGCAGAAAATTAAAGCTGCAATAGTGTTGCAAACTACTTTCCGAAAATGGCAAGCCTCAAAATTAGCTAAGAGAGAGCAAGCTGCTGTTGTCATACAGTCTTGGTATAGAATGCATAAAGATTTGAAGCAGTATTTACATGTTAGAAAAAGTGCTATCCAGATTCAAGCCTGGCTTAGATGTGTTCAGGCTAAACATGTTTATGAGGAAAAAAGGCATGCATACTGATGATTCAAAAGTATTACAGAGCTTATCGGTTGGGTAAAATTCAAAGAGAAAACTATTTGCAAAAACGTGCAGCAGTTACAGTCCTCCAAGCTGCTTTTAGAGGCTGGAAAACTCGTCTGTTATATAGACAAATAAAAGCAGTCTATGTTGTTCAATCACATTGGAGAATGAGACAAGAGCAGCGAAGATTTTTACTCATGAAACAGTCTGTTGTTACATTACAGTCGCATGTGAGAAAATATCAACAACTAAAAAGATACAAAGAGACTAAAAATGCTGTTTGCATAATTCAAACTCGATACAGAGCACATGTTTCATCTAAAAATGCTGTCTCTTCTTTCCAGAAAATGCGCCTTGCTGCCATTGTGCTACAATCTGCCTACAGAAGAATGCAAGCTAGGAAAGAGGCCCACATATTGAGATCTGTGGTGAAAATTCAGTCAAGTTATCGTGCTTATGTTGCCCAGAAAAAATTTGAAAATTTAAAAGCTGCTGCAGTGAAGATTCAGGCTTTTATAAAGATGATACAAGCACGTAAACATTACCATGCTTTAAGGGAGGCAGCACTCTGTGTTCAACGAAGATACCGTTCCCAAAAATACATCCTTCAACTTAAAGAAGAATATAGGAAACTGAAGGAAGCTTGTGTCAGAGTTCAAGCTGTAGTGCGAGGGCATCTGATCAGAAAACAAGTACAAAGCTGGAGAGAGGCTGCAACCTTGCTCCAGGCTTACTACAGAATGAAAAGGGATAGGCAACGTTATTTGAGGGTGTATACCGCTACTGTTATCATTCAGAATCGTTATTGTGCATACCAAGAGCAAGTCCGTCAGAGGCAGAAATTCTTGAAAGTCAAAAAGGCAGTTGTCTGCTTGCAAGCAGCCTACAGAGGTTATAGAGTACGCAAAATGCTTAAACTTCAGTATACAGCCACTGTTAAAATCCAGACAGCTTTTAGAGCTCATGCTGCAAGAATGAAATATCAAGCAATGATTCAGGCCTCTATTGTGATTCAGAGGTGGTACAGAGCCTACAAAACGGGTTACAAAGTGAGACTGAGCTTCTTAAAAAGAAGAGCAGCTGTGATTTCTCTTCAAGCAGCTCTTCGTGGTTGGCAAGTACGAAAACAGGTTCAAAGGCAACATGCTGCTGCAGTTACAATACAAACTGCCTTTAGAAAGTTCCAGGCTCAAAGATTCAGGCTTATAAACAGTGCTGTGCTAACTATCCAGCGGCATTATAGAGCCAGTATTGTAGGTAGAAAACAGCGGCAAGAATATATGGAATTGCATAACTGCATTGTACAGCTCCAGGCACTTTGGAGAGGAAGAACTGTGAGAAAACAAATTCAAAGGAAGCATCAATTTGCAGTAATCATACAATCCTATTACAGAATGCATGTAAATCAATCAAAGTTGAAAACTTTGAGACAAGCTGTCTTAGTGATTCAGAGACACTACAGAGCTTACTGTATGAAAAAGGAACAACGTACACTTTATCTAAAAACAAAAGCAGCTGCCTTAGTCTTGCAAGCTGCTTTTCGTGGGATGAGAGTGAGGAAACAATTATGGGAACTCAACAAAGCTGCTACTATTATACAAGCAACCTACAAATCCTATGTAGTAAAAACAAAATATGCAGCACTTAAAGCTATGACTATCCTGGTTCAAAGGCGGTATCGTGCAGTTGTTCAAGCTAAGTATCAAAAGCAGGAATATCTGTCTTTAAAGAATGCAGTTGTTAAAATTCAGGCTATTTATAGAGGTATAAAAGTAAGACGACAAATTCACTGCATGCATCAGGCAGCTATTTCAATTCAAGCCATGTTTAAGATGCATCGTATAAACATTAGATATCGTGCAGTGAAACTGGCAGCAACTGTAATTCAAATTAGATATAGAGCATTTTGTCAAGGGAGAGTGGAACATAAAAAATACTTAATGTTACAGAGATCATCCCTTGTCCTTCAGGCTGCCTATAGAGGCATGAAAGTTCGAAGAAAGGTAAGAATTATGCATCAATCTGCAACAATAATACAGTCATATTATCAAATGCACAGACAACAAAAAGATTTCAAAAAGTTATCCATGGTAACTAAACAGATACAGCAGTGGTATCGTGCTTGCAAAGAACGAAATGTTCAAGTACATAAATACAGGATTATGAAGAGGGCCATACTCTGTATCCAGGCTGCGTTTCGCGGCATGAAAACCAGGAGACATTTGAAAATGATGCATGTAGCTGCAGCCTTTCTTCAAAGGAGAGTTAGATCCTTTCTTAAAAGGAAAAAATATATTTCTCTTAGGGTAGCTGCTGTTACGATTCAGAGAAAATATAGAGCAACAGCACATGCAAAGCAACAGCACCAAGAATATCTTCATCTCCGAAAGGCTGCTGTTACCATACAGTCTGCTTATAGAGGCTTTGTGGTAAGGAAAAAGATGCAACAGATGCACAGGGCTGCTACAGTTATCCAAGCAGCTTTAAGAATGTATAGAATGTGTATTTCCTATCAGTCTGTCAAATTTGCTTCAATAACTATACAACAACATTACCGAGCTTACAAGGAGGGAAAACGTGTGAGAGAAATGTATTTAAAACAGTACAACTCTGTTTTAGTTCTTCAGACTGCCTATAGAGGAATGAAAACAAGACGGCTCCTAAAGAAAAAACATAATGCTGCCACCATTATACAAAGCAATTATCGAATGTACAGGCAAAGTTGTTATTACAAAAAAGTACAGTGGGCAACCCAAGTAATACAGAAAAGATACAGAGCCAGTAAACTGAGAGAAATTGCAGTACAGCAGTACTCTTCTATGAAGAAAGCAGCAACTTGCATCCAGAGAGCTTTTCGAGAGATGAGGGCAAGAAAAAAACATCAAGAAATGTGCCATGCTGCTGCTGTTCTTCAGAGACGTTTTAAAACATTTAAAGAACGACAAAGGTATCTTTCCCTTAAAGCTGCTGCTGTTGTCCTTCAGAGAAGATACAGAGCTTTAATTTTGGTAAGACGGCACACTCAGGAATACCTTTCTTTTCGTAGAGCAGTTATTCGTATACAGTCTCTGTACAGGGGTATTCAAACAAGAAGAAACATTCAGCATATGCATTTGGCTGCCAGCACAATACAGTCAGCATTTAGAATGCATAGGATTAAAATCTCCTACCAGAGAATGAAAATTGCAGCTGTAGTCATACAGAATTATTACAGATTCTATGTTAAAGGAAAAGTTCAACGGAAGAGATATCTGACAATTCAGAAATCTGTGCTGGTCATTCAGGCTGCTTATAGAGGCATGAAAGCACGACAAGAACTGAAAATCATGCATGCATCAGCAACTATAATACAGTCTCTTTATCGTATGCACAAACAGCATAATCATTATAAACAGTTACGCTGGGCAGTCAGAGTTGTACAGCAAAGGTTCAGAGCTAACAGGGCAAGAGGAGCTGAAGTAAAAAACTATACCAAAATTAAAAAGGCTGCCCTTTGTCTTCAGTCTGCTTTTCGTGCTAAAAAAGCTAGGCAGTTGGCTACAATCATTCAAGCAGTTCGGCGTATTCAATCAGTCTTACAGATGTACTTAGACAGGAGACGTTTTCTTAAGAAGAAGACGGCAGCAATAACAATTCAGTCGGCGTTCCGATGCCATAGAATGAAGACTCGCTACAAAGCAATTCGGGATTCAACAGTTGCGATTCAGCGATGGTACAGAGCCTGTCGAATGGCTCGTTTACAGAAAGCTGAGTACTCTGCCCAAAGGCAAGCCATAATAATTATTCAGTCTGCCTATCGTGGAACAGTAATAAGAAAAATGGCAAAGCAAAAACGTGCTGCAAGAAAGATTCAGTCTTTTCTTCACATGGCTGTGCATCGAAGAAAATTTCTTCGACTCAGAGCAGCAGCTGTTACGTTGCAGACTTACTACTTGATGAATAAAACCAAATTACAGTATATGACCTACAGAAAGGCTGTATTTGTATTACAGCAGCACTATAGATCATATTTAGCTATGAAACACCAAAGAGGAGCTTACTTAAGAACCCGGAAGAGCATTATAATTATACAGTCTAGAATCAGGGGATTCATCGAGCGGAGAAAGATTCAGAAAATTAAACAAAGCACAATAAAAATTCAGGTATGTGAAAATGCAATATGTGTTGTGTTGTATACATCCCTGGTTAATACTGTAACATCTGATGACAAACTGTAATATAAATTCTGTTTAAAAACAAGACCAAAAGTGCAATACTGGTTGCCAGTATGTACTAGGTTTCTGAAGCATGATTGATGTAACTGCTATAACAATGATCAACGGATGAATCAGTTATACTCTGAAAGGTGACTTTAAAAATGGCATTGTTAGTGACTTCCACGTTCAAAATGCTTGTTTTACAAGTAATAACTTTTCCTAAATTCTAGTTCTACAAACTCAACTTTCAGGCTGCGAAAGTGAAGTTGGTGTTTTTCCTGCTTGTGCAGGAAACAAAGATTCTTCAGGTTAAACTATGCCCTCGTATTCAGTCGGTTTGTACAGATTAGACTAATGATAATTTAATAGTTATACTGATACGAGAAGGAATGGAAGCCAGCTCATTTACTTAAACGTGTGGGCTCTGGAGTGGTAAGTAGAGTAAAAGTAGTAACTTATTTTGTCAAAGTGAGAAGCTATGACAATATACATAGAGCAAGGGGTAGGAAGATGCCATTTTTGCATAGTCTCTTTCATCCCTCTTTAAAAGGCTCTCTTTTAGGGTGAGTAAATGGCTGATCTTGATTCCTTTTAAAAAACTTGTTAACGTTAGATGTTTGAGGCCCCTGTCTCTCTCTCT